ACAATTCAGCATAAAATATCTTAAATAAAACTTCAGGCTCCACAAGTAAATTCAGGATAAGAAAATGTTCTAGTCATTTCAATACATTAAAAGCACACACATCTTTATAATCAATGCCAATAAGGAGAAGAAGCCCTAAGATGTTAAAAAAAATATTGCTTCTGATAATGTTTGGTTGCAATGTTCACATCCCTTGTATCTCTTCCAAGGACCATGAAGTAAAACCCTTAGCTAAACTGAATGGGCTTTTCATGTCTTTTTCATTTATTCTGCTTTAACAAACTATATTGCTTAGCTTCCTCTTTCTCCTTCTCAACCCTCCTTTTAATTCCTTCTCATTACTGAAACAGTCCATAAGCTTTAAATTAGTTTTCACTAGACCAATGAGATTTCAAAGCTCACATTGCTGATCTGCTCTAAACTCTCTTCCATTCAAAATTAAACTATGCCATAAAAAGAGAAAATGATTCCCAGATTCCCACTGATTCCTAGAAGACAAACCCAGATTAAACATTTTAAATCTAGATGAGCACAGATCCACAGCTATACGTTACTATAAAGTCCTTCAATACTAGTCACCTTGCAGCCAAAATAATTTTCAGAATGGATAGTTGTGTATAAGTTCAGATTAGGACTTTCACAATGCTAGGCAATCAATACTATCAAGGCCTTTTGTAATATATAACTAAGTCTGATAAAATTAATCATAGTTATGGAGCTGATAGAATTTGCTACTTCCAGTGCAATCCTATGTACATTCTTTTGGAAATAAACCCCAGAGAAATATGCAAAGGATTATGGCCTGAGGATCTGAAAAAGTTTCATCACGGAACAGCATGAGTTTTCTTGAAATCAAAATTCAATTATGAAACTAGCAAGTAGCGCAATAGAGGTGATTCAGAATATACAGAAATAAATACAAAACACCACTTTTCAAATCTTTAAAGCTGCCATATCTTTTTCCAGCTTGCTGGCTTTTTCAGAAGCTGCTCTCAGCTGTCCCTGTAGGCATGTGCGCACACAGTGACAGAGACTGCCAGTCAGACACCCAGGACTCAGGAAGACCTTCCAACACTAAATAGAATTTAGCAAACCCTATGAAGACAAATCCAAAATAAATCTGTAGGTGTGTTGCAGACTAGACCAAAAACACTGGAAAATAATATGTTGAAGCTGGTACAGTAATATTCCTAATTGCATGTTTGCTCTGCTAGTTGTTATTCTTACTTAAAATTGTAACTTTAAACCGACAATCTAAAGTTCACATATGGGATACTCCCAAGCTTTCCATCAATTACAATTTAATGCTAAATATTTACAGTATAAGGTAAGCCAGATCTTTATTAAACCGTATTTATAAATGAGCAAAAATTTAATTAATATGTGCATTAAATGGACTAATGTAAATGAATGGAATCTCAGATTAGTTATGTGATAAATATTTATAACTAACCATATAAAATTGTATATCATCCTCCAATTCTGAGGAAACTATATGTGTAATCATATGAAATACATCCTGAAAATAATCTCTTTCTACATTACATTTAAATTTAATTTTTGTATGCTTTGATAAAGTCATCTATTACCAGTTTAATTTCAATTAAATCCATAATTTTATTACACTTAAGAAATGGACATAAAATTTAATTTCCAGATAATATTATTAAAAAGCTACTAAATCTCTACAAAAGGCTGAAGTAAAAAATATTCAGAATTAGATGAGTAATTGAGCAGCGTTACTGAATTGCCAGTGAAATAGCAATGGCATAATAATGAAGATACAGTATCATTTTCTTACATTCTAGTCTATACAATTCACAATAATCATTAATAATCTTGTTACTGTATAATACATATTTCATAAAATGTAAACTTTGACTGAAGTGCCTTAAATATAGTACAATACATAAATGCTAAGTGGTAGGATTATTTAATACATTTGGAACAACTCCCTTTGACGTGAATGTGACTAATGCAATAAGATTAGGACTACAGCCTTTAAAGTTTTCTAACTACAGTATAGTTTTCAGTCAAAATCAAGATATCCTTGATACCTTATCTTCCATTTTAAAAAGTGTTCTGCATTAAGAATTAACATATTTTTAACATCTCTGCTGTAGTCTTTCATTTTATCTTCTACATCCTGTCCTAAATTTCCTTATCCAGTCACCAGTGACATGGTACAAATAAAAAAAAAAACATACTTAGTATCTTCAAATCTTTCCAGGCTCCATTTATTACAAGAAAGCACTTATTTTTTCCACCTTTTTAGTCTAAATAATAGTGAAGCACAAATCCTGTATAAATGGAATATATTAAGTAACTATTGTGCAGTAGTTCAACACCAAAATTGTTATATATTTTTCAAGATTTTTTGTCAGGTCAGGCAAATTACAAAAACTGAACTTCTGTCACCTATAGTTCCACATGAAAAACAGTAAGCATTTTTGAATGTGTTATTTTCCATAAAAATATCTACATATAAAGTAAATCTATATCAAAAGTAGATTTGTATAAAAACTGTCAGTTTTGCTTCCCCTCCAACTCTGTCATAATAAATACTAACAAATCGGAAATAATGGACAATTATGCTGACCATATGCTGAATGCAAGTCCTGAAAGAATTCAAAACTGCATAGGAAATTTATTCGGCTATGCTTAACATTTCAAAAATAAATTCTAACATTTGCATTAATCCTAACATTTATTTTAATTCATGAATTGATAAAGATTTGTTTAAAGATCTCTCCACAGTGAATTGATTTAGTATGTATTATGAATCCTAAACTCAAAGGGGAACATACCACAAAGTTAATTCTAAATTAAATCTAAACATATCATTACCTAAATATGTTGTCCAAAATATTGCTTTATATGAACATCTCTATGCACTTCGTAGATATATTACAGCACTTACAAAAGTTTTATATTCTTACTACTAAATGCATCTTATGATTTATCATTATTGTATTTTATGATTATGATCATGATTTATCACTTGTTGCTTATATGTACACTGAGAGTTTATGCACCAGAGACAAATTCCTTGTGTGCCCAATCACACTTGGCCAATAAAGAATTCTATTCTATTCTATAAATGAAGGTGCTGCTGCAGACAGCGAGAAAGGGCCCTTTCATAGATTTTTGTGGACACTCCAGTTGTGTTTGGTACTCTGTCAACTGACAATCAGTCATAGGCTACTTCAGAGGGAAAGATGGAAAACAAAAGTACTTCCCTCTGCTTTACTGAGACCATCTTATCAGACATCACCTGTCCAAAATGTTTCTGTTCAAACCTGTCATGAAAACATTATAATGTCCAACTAAGTACCTAAGTTTTCTTCTTTTTTTTTCATTGTTTGTTCTTGCTTATATGCAAGTTACCTTGGAGGTTGTGTGGCAGAAATGTTGTAAGAGTGAACAAAAGTTATGCCAAGCCTATGTTATTATCTTATTCACTGTTTTTTTCATCATGTATGTATAGATCTACAATGCACGTCTGGCACTAAAAAACATGGAAAAAGAAAATAATTTAGCAACTGCAGAAAAACTTGAATTACTATATTAATAATAACATATGTTAATAGCACTTTATTTTTCAGCAGTATTGACCCTAAGTGCCTGGTTAGTGCAGTAATTTTGAAAAAAAAATGTTTTGGTGTTTTCCACATGCTCTGCCACTTGGAAAAATATGTAGAAACATATTAAATAAAACAATAAAAGTTCTTTCATTATGCTGGAACAACACATTTACTTCACAATGTATAACAGATTACAGTCAACATATGTAGTTATTACCATATTAATATTGATGTAACTGATACCAAGTTCAATGTCTTCAGTATAATTATACCCTTCTGTACAGTGTCTATGTATATGTATGCTTATGTGTGGGCATGTATGGAGTGGGCAGTATATTAAAAATATTTAATACAAATGAAAACACATACAATAAGTTTTAATGGCAACTATGCTGCAATATTATCAACCAAAAAATGTTCTTAAATATTACAAAAAAGTTCAGGGATAATATCTAAGCAACTGTTAGGTTGTCATCCTAAAACACACTACACTATATTACGCTATGCTATACACTAGAACGATCTAGAGAATTTAGTGATATTGAGTAAACCTGTTTAAAAGTGCACTGATAATTCTTTAGCTGCTCATTTTGAAATGAAATATACACGAGAATTCAGTTTGCTTTACTTCTTTTGATTGTAAAGTATAATCATAATTGCTTTCTTTCAGATATTTTCATATGATCTTAGAAAAACCACTGTATGTTCTCTAATTTCAAGTAGCTTGTTTTAAAAATCCTATAATATCATAAAAATCTTTTTGCATCATTTCAAATATATACAGTACTTTTTTTAATGCTTGGAGGTCACAAAATAACTATTCTCATGTAACTTCAACCTGTACTCTTAACTATTATACACTGAGAAGGAAATAAATAACCACCCTTGTCATCATGCCAATATTATCTAACTACCAATTGTTTGACATTTCTGTCTTCTAAAAGCCTGTTTCATTACTGTATGGATGGTGAGAAAAAACAAACGTAGGTTCTTTGTTTTCTACCACAGCCAAATCAACAGTAGTTCAGAACATATCTAACTTTCACATTCATTATTTTTACATAATATACATATAACAGTGATTTCATTATTTGCCCTCCCCCCCACATACACACATCTCAACTCAAATAGTACTTTCCATCATCTTTCTATATTAGGCCTTAAAAAGTCATTTTACATAGCTACAGGACCAAGACCAGTTAAAACTTCTTACTTCTTGAAATCAGAGATTCCCAACATAAAATTATGGTTACTGATGAATATAAAAACTATAACATAGATGCATACCTAATGTCTTAATAACAGCAGTACCAATTAATATAAATCATTAGCATAGGTTGATTAAATATAAGTCACACTAAAACAAACAAATTGTGGAGAAATGTGTAATTGTTAAGTGTATATGGTCAAACTTACCCCATTCTAGAAATTCCAGAATATTCTTCTCTCTTCTCAAGGGTGAATTATTACATTCATCATAAAGGCAGATGAGTATATCCAACAAGGATTCCACACTAAAGCATTGCCCATTGGTCTGAGTTGGCCCATCCAAAATAAACTGTTCCAACTGTCTCAAGCGCACTTCTCCAGACATGGCTGCTTCAGTTCTTAACAGACTTTCCTTCTTTATTATTTTGTGCTATCTTTGACAAATCTAGCACATTAGAATATATTACAGTTTATAAAAAGAATTTTGAAAAGTCAGTGCTTTAAAGATGGTGCTGAACATATAATCCATCTCAGAACTGCTATTCTGAGAATTGTAACTTGGTCAGTCTGTCCACACATACATCTACAATATATACAGAGTATTACAGAAAAATAATTATCCTAAAATCTCTTTTAATAACAATTAAAAGAGAAAATATATACTTTATACATTTAAATAATAATTAAAATTTAATCCCAAGACTGAATCCACTCTTCTGTCATCCATATAGATTTTTAAAGGTCTTCTCCTTCATTCGAAATTCAGATCATGAAACCCAATCCCGAAATGAATCCTTCTGCATCATTTAAGTGTAAAGTCCCCATTCCATTTGCAATAACAATTCACTTTCAAGGAAAGAGCAGCAGGAAGAAAGCTATTTGAAGGTGGGAGGGCAAAAAATAAAAAGCACAGGATTCTGAAGATCTAGTGCTGGAGAATATCCACCACCTCCACCACCTTCTTCTCCACCTTCTCCACCACCTCCACCTCCACCTCCACCACCTCTTAGAAAATGCATTAGTGGCAACTCTTCAGAAAGTGGGGAGTGGGAAGAAGAGAGGAAGAAAAGTCCTCAGAAACAGAATCCTTCCTTAGGGCAATCAGTGCCACTCTTCCATTAAGGCTCTTCACCATTCCAAAAAATAATGTATAGTCTGTATTTCCTTAACCTCCCTCCCCAATATCCTGGGGAGGGGGAGCATGTGGAGGGGGGAAGTCACACCCCTCTTTAAATATCGGGGAAAGTAATAATTGTCCTCTCTTAAATACTGTATTAGCACATCCAGTCAAGGGAAGGGTAGGCTGGGCTGGTAATAATCCTAGCAAATCCTCTCCATATCGCTGCACGTCCTCTAGCTCGTTTCTCTTGACAGGGCGACAGGATATTGCTTTTTTCAATCCACATACATCTCCCACTCCGCTTGCGCGCTTCCCCCAAAAGATGCTGTGCTGCTGCTGTTTTCTAGTGCAAGAGATGGAAAGATGCTGCCCGTCTTTCGGTCCACCATACTTAGGGCATCTTCTTCGAGTAGCGAACAGTGATAGACTGTACTCCCCCCACTCTTTTCTCCGTTTCCTCTTCCTCGTTGTGGTTGTTTTCCTCCTCTTCTTTCACAGTCCGCCCTCCCTGACACCACACAGCCCCATGCATAAGCTCAGGCTGCTACTGAATTCTCCGGATCCAACATGGCGGCCTCTTCACCCTCCCTCCTAAAGCTCTGAGCGAGCGAAGCTGCAGAGAGGCAAACGAGGCTGCAAGCTGTTGGGAATGAGAGGGAGGGAGCGGAGAGCGCTGGAGAGAGATGCTTATACGGCAGCAAGGAATGCAGGGATACAGGCGGACCTGAGGGGAGGGAACAGCAGCCGCACGGAAACGCCCTGCGGGCTACTGCAGGACCAGGTTGCTAAGCTGTGTTTGGGGCTCCTCTGGCTGCGTCAAGCGCTGTCACCCAACCCGCAAGAACATACCTGTGCTCTGCAACCCCATCTCGCCCTTGGGACTTTGAAAACTCTGTAGCTACTTGGCATTTGATCCAGCCGACCGCTTAAAAGCGCTTCTCCCACAATTTTTTAACAGTCGCGGTTTGTCCCCCCCCCTGCATTTTTAAAGAGAGAGTATTTGATGACGGGAAACTGGAAAGAACGTCCATTTTTGTCTGTGGAGATTCTCAGTCATCCAGGTCATTGGTCGTCCTAAAGATGCTATATCAAGAGGCAACTAGACTTTCTTGTTTTTCTTTGAGGATGTTTCGCTTCTCGTCCAAGAAGCTTCTTCAGCTCTGACTGGAATATTAAATAATAAATGGAATATAAATCTTTCCATTCCCCACCATCCAGTCAGAGCTAAAGAAGCTTCTTGGATGAAAAGTGAAACGTTTCAAAGAAAAACAAGAAAGTCCAGTTGCCTCTTGAAAAAAGCACCTTTGGAACAACACCCATTTTTCTTCCAAAACTGTAAAGCTGCCTGTGATACCTACTGATTGATTGACTCTTAGCAATAACAGAAAAAGAACATCTGATGTTAACAACCCTTTGCATCCCATTTCAAGGGCATGGTTGTTGAAAATTGGGGTTGGTATAGTCGTTGGTGACAACTCTACCTCCTAGTTTTAACATTCCCATGATACACACGTACTGAATCTTTTGCTGATGTTCTCTCCAGTATTTTCCATTTTTTCCACTTTTTACTTAATTTATCTTTTAAAAATCAGTGTGGTTAGATAAGGAGTGTAGGATAGGATTAACGGGTCCAAGTCATGAAATTCAGTGCCTAACTTTGGATCAGTAATCCCCAATTTAGGATCACTATTTCCTCACTGCCTTCTGCATCACACTGGTTTGCAGTACCAATAAAAACTGGCAATATAATTTACATGTAGATACAGGTACAAAATCAACCTAGTGAATAAGTACAAATTCTGGCTGAATAATTCCCCCCTCCTTTGGGGGGGCTTGTCTCGGTACCTTGTGTTCCTGAACTGTCTTACAATCACATTATGTGACAGATATTCACATGTTCCATACTGCAAAGATTTAATAAATCCATATATGTAAAAAGTGTTATATACAGTATACCAATTTTCAAAAAAGATTGTAGGTTATATAGTTGTCATGTAGAATTCTGTACTCAAAATATAGCAACTTTTGTTTCTCAGTCTGTACAGTAAATTATTTAATGGGTTATGATTCTATCCCAGTGATGACAAACCTTTTAGAGACCGAGTGCCCAAACTGCAACCCAAAACCCACTTATATATCACCGGGTGCCAGGTGGGTGTGGCCCACTCGGTGGACTCAGTTACAGTGGGCTTGGCAGACTGGGTAGGCGTGGCCACTGGATGGGTGTGGCTGCAGTAGTCATGGCAGATTGGGTGGGCATAGCCACCTTGATGTTGCTTATCGGGAGGGACATCTGTGGGAGCCGGACAGGGTTGGGGGAGATCCAGGGGGTCTCTGGCAGGTGGGATGGTGGGCTCCCCAATGGCGGCTCCAAGCTGGCTGACCTAAGGCCAGTGATGATGAACTTTTAGAGACCACATGTGCTGGGGTGATGGCGCGTGGCCACAGAGAGGGCTCCGCGTGCCGCCCCTGGCACACGTGCCATAGGTTTGCCACCACTGGTCTATCCTATGGTTACTATCACTGTAACTAACTCAGTCTGTGGCTAAAAACTTCCTGTTTTTTTATATGGCTACTGGCCTGTCCCCTCTTTTTCAACAGCCAGTCAGGAGGCAGAATAATGAGATATCTTTCCCAGAGATTATATTTGGGAACTGTTCTTCTACTTTTTCTTCTTACTGCAGATCACTTATCCTGCTCCCTTCTCAAACATTAGCATTTTTTTCCCTGCTTCTGAGTATGATGGAGATGGTATAAAAACTGGAAGTATCCCAAAAAAACCAGGAACTATGTATTCCTTAATATCATTCAATTTTCAACATGCTAAGAAAATAACAAGCTAACCAGTACGAATAGAATGGCATGGAAGATAAATTCTATGTTTAGTTGAGTTTAATTTTAGATTAGTGCTGCAGTTTAAAGCTATTTTTTAAATAAGAACTTTAAAAACAGGATCTATGATAAGGTGATTAAGATGATTAATTAGAAAAGAAGCTTCACATTGAGGTGGTTGTTATTCGTAGAAATACTAGAACAATGTTTATATTCAATTGTTTATTAAAATACTAAGAAATGTACTAATTTAAGGTTAATAAGTGAGATTATTGGAATAAGAGAAAATCAAGAAAAGCTACTATGTGGATTACGGAATTATAGAAACTAATTGTTACTGATTGTTTGTAAATATAAACCCAGACAACATGCTGTTTACCAAATATTAAGGTGATTATGTTAATAAAAATTAATAAAATATATATTTTTAAAAAGCTCTTTTTTCCTTGTTTTTAATGTTGTCTATATTGATATGATGAAGCAATCAACTTGAAACATGAACTGATTTGGAGATTTGATGAAAAGATTCTCCTTCATTGATGAAAAGATTGCTTGAAAAGATGAATTCTACATTTTAAATGGAGAAAATGCAAAGAGAATCTAAATGCCTCTTCCCAAGAAACAAAAATACCAATAGAAGAGACTATTTGTAGCTCAGGGTTGAACTGTGGAGTCTTTGGTGCTCTTTGAGCTTAGTTGTTTTCTTGCAGACTTTTCATTACCCACTAGGTAACATCTTTAATGCTACAAGAAAGTGAGGTTTGCTTTCTATTTGTATAACAGTCAAAAAATGTGATGAAGATTCTTTAATTGCATGACATATGGACATACTTAACCATAGTTAAGAAGTTCAGAAGCAGCTTTGGACCAGTACAATATTAAGGATCAGTTCTTTTCATAAAATGAATTTCATTTTTCTGGTTCCATTCTGACTTGTCAAAAACTGGAATAATATTTTTCTTTTGTAGCACTGCAAAATAAGTCTGTAAACACTGAGAGAAACCCTTGCCTTGACTTGCCTTCCAACTTCTGAATTTATTTATAAGTTATCAATTCAATGGTCCTCTAGGGCAGGCATCTTCAAACTTGGCCCTTTTATGACTTGTGGACTTCAACTCCCAGAATTCCTCAGCCAGCGTGCCTAGCTGAGGAATTCTAGAAGTTGAAGTCCACAAGTCATAAAAGGGCCAAGTTTGAAGACCCCTGTTCTAGGGTAAAAAAGTAGTTTGTTGGATTTGTAGGTACCTTCAGAGTTTGTTTCGTATATGATCAGATAGATTCACACAATGTAAACCAAAATCATTGGATAAGGAGGCATGCTTCCATCTTGGGGGAATAAAAGTGAGGGGATTTTTGTTCCCTCTGTTTTTCCATGACAAACAGTAAATTGGGCAGTGTTCAAGTAGAATCACTTTCTTTATGAGATGAACCTTCATTATGGAAGGTTTGAAGACTGATGAATTGGCTTTAACAATATTTTTCAAGAGTTCTGAAGCAGAAATTGTGGCCATTTAGAAGTGTAGACATTTGGTTTTCTTTTAATATCCTATTCTCTATTTTGTAAAAGAATAATCCACTCAGTATGGTTACTATCTAATTTTACTTGAAATATTTACCTGTTTGAATTAAACTGTATTTCAATCAATTTATAAATTATAATTTTAGACATTTGCATATTAGAGAAATATGCATATTGAAAAATTATGCATGTTGGAAAACAATGCAAAGTTTGAATAAAAGTAATCCTCTTGTATATTTAAGAGGTTTTAGTCATCGCAGTTTTAGTATATGATCAGATAGATTTGGGGGGGGGGGGGAATTACAGAAGACTTGAAAGAAAACTGGTACTGAAAACATGTAGCAGTCCAAGCCTTATTGGATTCATATCTATCCATGTTCAGTGGGATCTCAACAGATCTCAACAGATTGTCAGGCCAATAGGTTGCTTTTCTGGTCCCTCTTAGTAGGGAGACTCCAATCACTCGCACATGGGTGTAGGTAGGAAGCTTTCCTTTTGCAAATTGTGTGGGGTTCTCTTTCTCAATCCCTAAAACTTATGGCAGCTGCTCTTCATCCAAGAGTCCATAAACCTCTTCTCTGGGAATCTATTCTGAAGCTCCAGAGAAAAGGAGCCCTTCTTGCAAGCAAGCCCTTTATGTTGATTTGTTCATTTCTATATTGCTTCTGTTTGTTTGCCTTTCAACTTCTATGATGCCTCTTGGTATTGTTATCCTGCAACCATTTCTTATGACAGATCTAAAATCTTCTTCCTGGTAGGCTGGAAGGTTAATAGGTATGCCTCTATCTCCTTCCCTTCTCTTTCAGGAGGGCAATCAGCATGCAGCGTGTTGTCATCATCTTCAGTGAGGAAAAGAAACACGGCTCATCCCCTGAAAGACATGACAGTAGTTTTCTCTGTCTCATGTTCCTTGGATGAACAAAGGAAGAAGAAGAAGAAAAGCCTTTCCCACCAAACTCCTATTTGCTCTCCCTCTTTACTCACTCAGTGACCTTGTTTGAACCAAGTCATTTACATATCATTTGGTAAATCATGGTTAAACCATTGCTTGCTGAGATATATAAGCCCAATTGCTACCTTTGAACCTCAGTTCCTTCATCTATAAAAACTTAATAACATTTGGTACAATCTTGCTATCAGTTAGAAAGGGGCTAAAAAATAAAAAAGCAATAAGTTTGAAAAATGTTCCATATAAATTCATAAAAAACTACAAAAGGACAAAAAAGAGCAAATGCTGAATTTTTCTTCTTCTCATGATTAAATTGTGCTGGAGAAAACTACTTGTTGGCAGGAGAGAAAATCATAATAAAAT